ATATATATAAAAAAAAAAAAAAAAAAACCACTTTGTGATCCATTTGAAGGGGATCTTTATTTTTTTACATTTGTTTTGTTTGGGGAGGGGTGTTCATCCTCCCCCTCATCACATATCATGTACAGATTTTTATCTATAGAATTTTATGCCTATTTAAATTTTTAAATATCATGGGTTGCATTTTGTAGGTTGCTGGTGTTTTGTGGTATATGAAGGATTGAATGATGATGGAGAAGTTCTTTTTTTGGTGGATGGTTTAATAAGTAAATGGACTGCTGATTAGCTAGGTTTGTGACGACCAACTGTCTTCTCCCCTGCTCTGTGCCACAATTGTATTTTATATACAATAAATCTGGAAGGGATCTAACCAAATTTAATATGGACAAATGAGTAAAAATAACAGATGGCATGAAGTTTCCTGACACTTTGTTAAAAGGTCATTCCCTCACACATTCAAAAGTCTTCCTCACCAAGTCTTTGAACTTAAATAACCTCTTCTTTTCACATACATGCAAAGAGATCACATCTTTTTTCATCTTAACACAAGGACTGTAAAAACTAACACTCATACACACTAAGAAAAATTTAGTTGTAAAAAACACAAAAATAAAAATATCTTATAATTAAACGCCTTTTTCTTTGTTGTGAGTTGATTCAAATCCTCAACAAGCATAGTTGCTTTACAAAAAGAGAACAACATTCCACAGCTTCCCTTACTGTCTTTCAACACTTCCTTTAATTGTGGCAACAAGTTAGAATTGGATTCTACATTAACTGTTTAGCCTTTCTGAAGAAGACAGGAAAAATATTTTGATGACTGACTTATTTCTCTTCAATCAAAGTGGATTGGTTGTGATGAAAAATCGATCTCCAAAAGAATTATTTGCTTTCCTGTTCATATTAGTGTAACCAGGTTTCAAGTAACTTCAGGATATAGGTGATCATAGCTCTCCACAAATTGCTATCCTTTTTTAAAGCAAGGCAATAAGAGCCACTAAGACACAAGGATTTACTGGGAGCAAAAGAGATGACTTTAGAAGGAACCAGAAACACAATCCTAAAGAGGAAACCAGCAAAATAAAAATTCAAATGTCTTCATATGCAGAACAGTCTTAAACTTTAAAAATTTATAAGAATTTTTTTTTTTTTTTGACAAAAGGTCATTGTTTGAGGAAGGTCTAAGGAATGATAATCTACAAAATTTATTCCCTGAAAAAGATTTTCCCTTTTTCACATCCAAAATAATTGAGGAGGAACCGGGTTATGTTCAGGATTTTTCAGTACCTCTTCTGTCAAGGTTTCATATTCTAAATACTCTTTAGTATTGTGGGTATCTTCTTTCTGTATTTAGTAGCACAGGGGTTTACAGTATATACTCTAGTATAGTCCGAGGTTTTATTATCAGGGTTGGTTTTTTTTTGGTTTTTTTCCAAAAGCTAAGCAAAGTAGTAGGAATTAGAAAACATTTACTAGAAACAAAGAAAACTGTGATATCTGCCCTTATGTATGGCCATGAATGCTAGACAATCTCCTAAAAGATGAAGAAGAGACTTGAAGCAACAAAAATCTGGTTCTCTGGACAGATGCTGAGGTTACCATGGACCGAACATGTGGACAACAACAAAGTTTTAGAGAAAATGGAAACAAAAAGGAAACTTATACTTAACATCAGGAAGAGATAGTTGAGGTTTCTAGGACACATAATGAGGAAAGAGAGATTGGCAAATCTGATACTCACAGGACAGGTTGAAGGCAAAAAGAGGCAGAGGAAAATAATGGAAAACATACTTATTGAGTTTGCGTAAATGGATGGTGGAACAGGTTTTAAGAGAAATAACAGGAAAAACAAAATTTATTAAGCGCTACAAGAGACAGGAAGTTGTGGAGAGCCATGATCGCTAACGTCCTGAGGGTACACGGCCCAAAGAAGAATTGAAAAATAAATAAGGTCTTAAAGAAAATAGTTATCAGGAAAGAAGGCCTAGAGAATATCAGGTCATATTGAAGGGGAAACTGAAAATAAGTTGGGTGAGTGAATGGTTGACAGAACAAAGAGGGATGGTCAAGAGTCAAAAGTTACTTAGAGCAACATAAGACAAAATTGTGGAAAGCCATGATCACCCATATCCTTAAGGGACTTGAAAAATTGAAGAAGAAATATTAAATATAGCAATTTTTATCTAAAACAGAAATGACTTTTTCTAACTGGATCTGCCAATAATTTGTTTGAATATGTTTGAACTTCTCAGATTTGAGGAACTGTCAAACTTCACCATTCCACATCACAGAACACTAGATATAAATGAAAAGATTTACCCATGTAACCTTGTTATTTTATTGTTCGCTCTCCTTAATACTATATTTTTCTCATATTTTCTAACACTCAGTAACTCCTTGCATTTAAGTGGCTTTAATGCATTGCTTGGGGTTTATGATTTAAAAAAAATAAAAATAAAAGTATTTTTGTTTTGCCTCTATTTAAGAAAAAAATAAAATGAATGCTAATTTTTGCATTGTAACTGAAAACTTAATTTTTTCAGTCTTGCTGTCCTCATTATGAATACTTGGTAGATGACAATTAAAAAATAACACAAAAGCTCATTTCTGCATGACACTCTGTAAAGAAATCTTTGAGAGGCATATTTATAGAAAAGAAAATATATTTTGACCATTTTCTGTATGCTTTATCTCGGATTAAAATTATCCAATCAAAATCTAGATTCCTTCCTCTTCTTCAGACTCCTCTTGTGCTGTATATAGCCACAGCCTCCCCACACTAGGTTCCATAGCATGTAGGTTTTTATGGAGTAGAGTTGCCAATACCCAACTAGTTTTGAATTCAGAGTTGTCCTTCTCTTAGACTGGTTACCAATCAAGGCTACAGAACCCAGGCTTCCCGGTGGAAAGAAGAGATGGTACATCTCCTTCCCAAGAGCATTTATACAAAAATAAATGCAAATGACCTTGGCTGGTTTTGTTTGCTTATTTTACGGCATATCAACCTCAATGGGTTATTATTTTTATTGCTGGTAATATTTTTTCCAAAAAAGTATTGCTGGTAATATATTTTTTTTTTCTCAAAAATGTATTGCTGGTATTAAAACTTATTTTTATAGTTTCATAGTGTTTTGACCCACCTGTGGTTGGTTAACTATTATGGCCATAGATGGGACCCTGACAGGTGCTACCACCCTGGGGTCAGGATGGACCAGAGAATACCAGCAATTAAGAGGTGGTTTCACACTTCTCAAAATCTTCTGATCAAAGGCCTTGCTGTCAGATAGAGTTTATCGTCTTACCCAGGATGCGAACTTGGCTGGAATTTGAACTCAGCACAAGGATTCCAATTCTGTAAAAGACTACTACTACTACACACAAAAAAAAAAAAAAAAATGCTATCTCTATATTACCATTAAATTAGCAGCCATTATGATATGAACCCATGAAAGAAACTGAACATTTTGAATGAAGTGAGGGATTTGTTTCTAATGCCTTTAAGACATGAAACATCATTCAAAACAAAACAAAAATCTACATTTTGAAATCATAAAGACGAGAGAACAATCAAACTTTTGAGTGTTCAAGATTTTCAGTTGCTAATTTATCTTTAGAAAACGAAATAAAAATGTCTGTTCAATATTGTTTAAATGGTTTCAAATAAATTTCACATCCAGAAACTCCTAACAAATGATTAACGATATTCTGCTATTAAGAATTTTCAGCCTTTGTTTCAACTATCATTAAGATTGGTTTTCTTCCCCTCTCTTTATACAGAGAAAAACAAAAATCTTTTTGTGGTAAACAGCCACGTAGAAGCAAGCAAGCCAGAGTGGCTTGCATCTGGTGCATAGGAAAATAAGGGTCTTACTTTAATGGGCAGCACATGACATCGGCAAGTTTCCCCCGTGAAAATGGCATTACTTTCCCATCTAGCAGTATGTGCCATAACGAGGGTTTTTGTAGTTTGGCATGCTTCCACCAATAGCAAGTCGTGTGCCGACTGGTTGAACTGGAGGAGGCTATTTGCCTGGGTAACTGAGAAGAACGCTGATTGGTTGGTCAACCGCTGTGTTTGGCTGATAAAAGAGGCCTGAGGCAGCGAAAACGGCAGAAGAAAAGACGGATATACATTGTGACATGTTCAGAAAGCAAGAATGGTGAATTGAACCAGCGGTATCTTGATTTGTACAAGTGACGTAGTAGCAATACAGACTTATTTAAATTACACTTTTTCATAAACTACTGAAACAACTCTGCATCAACAAACAAGGAATAAAAGTGAATTAAAAAATAAATAAATAAAAATAGTGTTTTTCCATAAATAAAAAGCTTTCCCTTTTACAGGAACTTTTTTTAACACCAAAAATTATGTTCCTAAAATTTAAGAACAAATTTTTGTAATGCTTTCTTACTTCCCAATTCATTAAGGATCAGAGACAGATGTAGCGGGGACACTAGAGATGGGGGAGAGAGGAGAGGAAGATCAAAGATTAGAAAAGAGAGAGGAGAGGAAGATTAATGACTAGAAAAGAGAAAGGAGGAGGAGGAGGAGAGGAAAACCAGAGACAAGAGAGGAGGAGGAGGAAAAAGGATAAAAGAGGAAGGAAGAAAAATAAATTAGGGAGAAAGAAACAGAAAGGGAAGAGAAAGATAAAAGTGAGAAAGCAGGAAGAATTGAAAGAGAATTATTTCTTTTCTTTCAATTTAAGAGAGAGTGCAGTTCATTTTCTTCATTCCACAGGATCACAAGGATCTTGTCAGAATGTATTTGCTTTTGATTACCTCCCTTGACAAACAAGACTTTTCCTTGGTGTGGACCAGAATGCCACCAACAAAGATTTTAATGCCTCAACTGGAGGAGGAGGAGGAGGAGGATGAGGATGATGATGATGATTTGACAAGAAACGCACATTAAAAAGAACAGGAAAGTGATTAGAGCTAACATAACATTTTCCTGAGTTTGGAAGTTTTCACAAAGTGAAGAATAGAAAAAAATGAAGTTAAAAAGGAGAGAGAGAGAAGAAAGAAGAAGACAAGAGAGAGAAGAAAGAAGAAGAAAGACGAGAGAGAGAAGAAAGAAGAAGAAAGACGAGAGAGAGAAGAAAGAAGAAGAAAGACGAGAGAGAGAGAAGAAAAAGAAAGAGAAAAGATGAGAGAGAAGAAGAAAGAAGAAAAACAGAGAGAGAGAGAGAGAGAAAAAGAAAAAAAACAGAGAGAGAGAAGAGAAAAGAAGAAAAAAAAGAGAGAGAGAGAGAGAGAGACAAAGAAGAAAAACCAGAGAGAGAGAGAGAGACAAAGAAGAAAAACCAGAGAGAGAGAAAGAAGAAAGAGAGAATTCTCCCAAGGAATCTCCAAATATTTCACTGAAGAATTGTGGGTTAAATTTCATCACATTTTTAAGTGGAATGAAATTTTTAAAAAAAATGTTCCTCCATAGAAATACCACGTTTTTTGTTTTTTTTTTATCTTTGTTTATCTTAGAGCAAAGAGGTTTTTACTCTGTCCCACAATTTTTTGTTTTGTACACAAACAGCGAAGTAGAAAGGGAAATGGGCCTCAAAGAATTAAAGACATAACCAAAGTCTTATACAGACAAGAGACAGTGTTAAAAATATTTTTGTCTTCCTTCATTGCCAAGAACTGAATTGCATTCTAAATCCACTTTTTTTTTTTTTTTACTTTTAAAAAAGTTTCCATTCCATTTCAAATTTCTCCAGTGCGATAGAATTTATTTCACAGAAACATACTTTTTCTAATTCCTATCAAATCAAAAGATTTTAAACTACATGAGGCTGAATACATATTTTAATGAAACAGTTTCAAATTAGAAGAAAATAATTACTGTTATTTCTCTTAAGGATCCCAAAAAATAAATTTCAAAAATACAATTGAAGCCAAATGAAGAAATACTGTTATTTTGTTTATTTTTTCTTCAAATTTTAAAGTATTTTTTTTTTTAAATGTAAATTATTTTTTTCATAAAAATGGACAGACATTTGTATTTGTTCATATTTTTTTTTGTCTTGTTCTTCATAAAGTTGTCTTTTTTCCCATTCCTGCAACAATAGTTTGCCTAAAGAAACTCTTGGTCTTTTGGAAAATAAAATAAAATAAAATAGAATAAAATAAAAAGAAAGTTTTCTTTCCAACCATTTAGAGGTTGTTATTTGCAAAGTTATTTCCTTTTCGTTTTCCTTGAAATTCACAGGTAATTTTTGTGTTTTTTTTTTTTTTTTAAATCTTTTCTTTAATCAGCAGCTAACCAAAGTCCATGGAATAAGCAATATTAGTCACAGTTAGTGACTGCAAAAATAATTCAAAGCCAGGTCACTGCTGTTTATCCTCTCAATCCCCTTCAAAGAACCCCTCCCCCACCCAACACTTTTTCTCATCCTTTTACTGCTTGGTCATCACCTTAGCCACAAGCATCTGTTCTCGTTCCAAGTCCTGCTCCTGCTGCTGAGCCTTCTGCAGTTCCTCTTTTTGTTTCTGCTGTTGGAGTCGCAACGCTCGTTTCTGTAACATCAAAATAATAGAGATGTTTAGAATTCAAATATTGGCTCGCATAGCAATCAAAGTCCATTTAGTTAATCTATCAGGCAATGCAAGAAGTCTCAAGTAACGCTAAGTGTCAGTAGCCACAATGACCTGCAACATTTAATTTCATAACAGTAAGGCCTTAAGAACATGCCACAATTGAAACTTCAAAAAAAAAGATCACCATTGTTTTAGCCGACAGATTTGTTTCGCGAGCAAACTGTCCAATAAACTAATTCTAGTCCTTTATCAAATATGTAACGCTCGTTATCTAGATGAGTACATTTCTACATCTGGGATGATGGCGGAAACATCTATTGTACAAGTGTTTCAACATTTGGTATCTTCATTTTTTCAGGTAAGAAAAATTAGAGTTAATAAAATTTGCTGATAAAAAAGCTCTATTGAACCAGAGGAGTGAATTAATGGTAAATTGCCAACACAGTTCATCTCTTACTTAAAACATAGTTTAATTTTCAAAAATTACATATTACCATTTCTTATAGTCATAATTTATGAATATATAATGGTCCACCCTTTACGACTAAGTACGTTATTTTGTTTATTCAACTTTAATTTTGTTATGTATTGCCATCAAGTTAGTATTATTAATATTTTATAGAGATGTTCCAAATTTTTAATTTTATCTACAGGCCCCTTTAAGAAGCTTCCTGAATATAACATTTTTTTTTTAATTTTTATATCTGATTGACTCATCCCTCCCTTCAACACGCTTTCAAAAAAAATTGAATGTCATATTTGTTTACAATCTGGATACATTTGTTTGACATATTTTCTGCAGTGGCCAATGATGGCCTGTCTATGTTTTAGTTTATCATGTCATGAAGAGATAACCCACCTCTATCATCTGAACATAGTTTTTTTTTTTTTTTTTTTTTATTTAGCATAGATCAGACATTTAATTGGTTAATCAAGACATACCCACAAGTCTAATTTTAATTTTGACCTTAAGTCCCCTCTGATTTAACTTTTGGAAAAGAGGTAACAATTTATTTTTAAATTTCATTAAAAATCATTTCATCACCAGTTACTTACCATCACCTGAAGAAGTACAATCAAAATATTGAAACATGAAAGCTTTTGTGTAGCGATTTAAAAATGTTTTTATTATAATCTCTTATAATAATATATATATATATATATATATATATATATATATATATATATATGTGTGTGTGTGTGTGTGTGTTGGGGCAGCAGATCATTATTTAAACATATTCATTGTCCTTTATATTTAATGATATGTCTATTATGTCCAATCATGAGCCATTCGAATGTTTGCTTTAATTTCTGGTGAAAATAAAGACAAAAATTGTCCAACATTTGGATATTTTTTTATTAAGTTGATCCTTAGCTTTCACATAAACCATCCTCAGATTGGTTATACAGACATGAAAGAAAGATATCCACCGTCAAAGATGATATTTTGTTATTTTGACATAGAAAATTGCTATGTGACAATAATGGTTATGGAATGGTAGACACAGATCATAAGTACAAGATGCAGTTCTATGACGTCATACCACGTAATAGACTGAAATATTACAACAGAACCAATGTCTAGATGCAATGTAATGTGTTGTGACTAGTTTGAAATGTAATTTTGTTGAGTGTGGGTTGCTTTCTTTCAAGCTAGTCACAACACATTACATTGCATCTAGACATTGGATCTTTTGTAATACTTCAGTCTATCACATGGTATGACGTCATAGAACCGCATCTTGAACTTACGAAACCTTCTGGAAATTTATGATATATATTTTGTAAGATTATATAAGTGTGAGTGCTGACTGAGTTGTTAAAGTTCAAGAGCTTATTGGCCACATCATATTGAAACACTGGTTCCTGTACAATTACCAAAGTTAAGCAATACCGAGTCTGGTATGTATTTAGATGAGTGACTGCTTGGGAATACCAAGTGCTGTAAGCCTGGATGTGTGGGTGGTGTAATGGATAATGGCTCGGAATTGTTAATCAGGGAGCAGAGTTCCAATTCCAGTCAGGTTCGTTATATATACTTGTGCGCAAATACCCCAGGGAAAGGTATGAATCCACCTTACTCCCTCTAGCTATGGGTTAATTAGTAAGACTTGTATCACTAAACCATTATTATCTCAAAAAATTCTTACAATCAAAAAATATTTTCTGGCTTTAAATAACCTACAAATGGTTGAAGCCATAAAAAATGAATCAATTAAATCAAATTTTCCAAATTACTATTAGCCAGCAAGATAGATTAAGCAAAAAGAGTTAAAATTTTAAGGAAATTTTATGCAGTCATTATTATTAAAAATAACGCCATTGCTTTTATATATATATATATATATATATATATATATATATATATATATATATAAAATTGCTGATACAACCCCCGATAAGTGGACAGAGTGATTCCTACAAAACTCTGGAACTGAGATGCTGAAGGTAACGCCAATCAGCTAAGTGAAAAACTTTTTACTTGAATGGTATATATATATATATATATATATATATATATATATATATATGAAAAAAGGGTTATGTTTAGGTAGGGTAGGGATGTATTTTCAACAAATTCTGACATCCATAAAATGCATGTCACCTATATTTTTTTTTATAAAATTTTATTGTTAACGGCAAAAATTCTTACGGCATTTTTTATGTTTAGGTTATTTTAAATCAGTTAATTTATAAATATTAATGCTCTGTAAATTTACATTGAGCACTATTTTGTAAAAATAAAAATATCTATAAAACCACCAGATTATATATATCTTACTGTTCTTTCTTTTTATTTATATAATACTTACCATGAAGTGGTGAATAGAAAAATCAAAGATTTTTTTTTCATTTCATTTAAAGGAACTCATTTTCATATTTTTCCATAAATAAACTAGGCATTATTTTTGATGCAACCCTCTAACAATTTTTAATGTTCAGAATTTACTCCTTCATAAGAAACTTGGGTGCATTGATAGAGAATGATTAATGATAGATTTAAAGTTACTTAAGAATTTAAACTTGAGTTTCCAAATCCTGTGTGTCCTTTGCTTTGCTTTTCCCCACTTTTTTATAGGAATCACTCCAAGCAAGGCAGTAATCAGTAATGCCATTAAAAGACAAGAGGTTACAGGGTGTGGGAGAATCAGGAACAGAAACAATAATGATGAACAGAAAGAGTAATCAGGTGGACAGTAGATAGCGATTGACATTGCATTTAAAGTTTTGCAGATTAAAATTGGCCGGAAAGCATGGAGCCAGAAGGGAGTTCCACAAGCAAGAAGTGCGAGAGAAGAAACCTTTAGCATAGAACTTCCGGTTACATTTCGCCAGTTCAGCTGTGAACTGATGAGATCTCGACACCAGTCTAGTGTTGTGCTTAAATTCAAAACATCTACGTACCATAGCGAAGAGCTCATACAAACAATTATCATGAAAGTATTTGTAGAAAAGACATAATGGGGAAACCTTACGGCGATGAGGAAGTGTTTTATGTTTATTTCCAATCGTTTCCTTTCTGTAGAGCATTTTGTGCATTATAAAATCCTCCATTTTGTGAGTTTTAAATCCACTGAACCCTTGTGGAGAAATTTGGAATTGTAGCAGTTTTTAATTTTATATTTTTATTTATAATTTCAATTGGGTGACAGCTTGGATGTGCAGCTGGTATAATGGGTAACAAATTGATAAAGAATTGATAAAATAAATATTTTTGGATTCAGACAACTGTCACATCTTGAAGTTGAATGAAGGCTAATCTATAAATAAAAAAAAAAAAAGGAGATGACCTGACTATTTAGTAGTAACTAAATTTTAATTGAAATATATTGATTGATCTGTATTTTACAGCCTATTAACCTTTTGCAGGTTATTTAAGGCCAGAAAATACTTTTAAATAAAAGTTTTTGGGAAATAATAATTTACTCATCCAAATCCTACTAATTAACCTGTAGATATGGAAGAAGAGGTGGATTCATATCTTTCCCCAAAAGTATTTTATTAATATAACAAACCCAACTAGAACATGGTCCTCTGATTAACAATTCCAAGCCATTACCATTATATCATCACCTACATATCCACTCTGGTATTCCCAACCAGTCATCTATCCAGGTACTGACCAGGTCTGAAGTTGCTTAACTTCAGTGATTGTGCAAGAACCAAGGTTTCAATATGGCTGTAAGCCCTTCTATGTACTGATTAAAAATTTTACATAATGAGCATTCTTCAAATGGTTCAAATGTCTTTGAGTCGTCTGAAGAATGGTCATTGCCTGAAACTTAGTCATAATGGAAGAATGTCTTTAGGTATTTCTGGATTACACTTTTCTGCTCTAACCTCTGTGGTTGTTTGGTATCGGATTTCCTTAAATCAATTCTGCAACATTTTATGTCCTTTCAAGTTAACATACATTTCATATGTGATCTTTATGATTTTCTTGTTTTCTTTGAGTGTAATTTGCCCAGGTATTTCTTTGGATGGAGGGGAGTGAGGGGGAGGTGAGTGATTTCTTTTTTTTTTTTTTCTTAATGAGATCAGTATTTTTTTTTAATAATTGCTACTATTATTATTATTACTACTACAATAATAATAATAATAATAATAATAATAATCAATGAAAATTCAATTGACCAACTTCAGAGCCAGATGTTCAATTTATTGAACCTCTTATCCTGAAAAGTGGTTTGACATAAAACTCTGAAGTCGGTCAACTAAAATAAGTCAATTGAGCTTTTATTGATTTACTGAATATCATAGTGTGTCTTTTACACAAACACACATTACATACATACATTATATATATAATTACATATATATATATACACACACACACACACACAAACAGGTTGGCAATCCCATATTCAAACATCTGAAAACTGAATATTTTTAGTGTAGAGTTTGGTGTGTAAAAAGCTTACCTACTTGACCCATGCCACTAAAGTATGATGTGGCAACAGGTGTCATGATCAAACCGACTCCAACCACCCACCTACCCACATATCAGTTGTTGTCAAACACTCATATTGGGTAGATGTCGCTGATTTTTCTCATCTCATAATAAATTTCAAAAGAACTGTAAATACCCTTCTTATGGGTGACAGTGAAAAAAATAAAAGGAAGCATCTCTCGTCATCAATAAATAGAACTTTTCCTGAAACTTGATCGCTGTGTGGCGTCTGACTGAGGAATATAGCATTGGAATAACCACTGTGTATGATTTAAAAAAACAGAAAGACAAAATTTACTTCAATTTTATAGTAAAAATGATGACTATAAACTAATGAACAATAGGAAAACACTACATTCGGCAAAATAAACTACAATACCTACTGTCTGTAGTTTTTCTTTCCCCCCTCTCTTTGGAAACTATCTTACGCTATTGTCAGGAGACAGTATTGAGTGACAGAGACATACACAGTGTATATATTTTGCTGAGCAACAGACAGGCATGAGAGCACAACATATACTATTAGTTTATCGTTTAATGCTGTTCACTTTTAAGTTATACAAAAAGGTATTTTTGATCTGAAATAAATAAAATTTATTCATTACTTATGGTCTTAATTATCCATCTGTTTCATTTATCAGTTTATATTCCACTATAAATAAACTGTAATAATATTTGTAGTCTTTTTTTATCCCTTGTAGTTTAAGTATTCATATATTTTTGTTGCAATATTGCTTGAATTTCTGAAAACTGAAATATAACTGGATTGTGTACCTATATATGATAAGGAACAAAATAGAAAATGTTTATAAATTGAACATGTTTCACTGCTAGAATTATAAATATTTCCATTCTGTTGGATATATATATATATATAGGTAAAAAAAAATAATTACAGAACAAATTTCTTATTTCTTAGATGGAGTGATTTCACGAGGAGTGTGAAATGTCTGGTTAAGATACTGGAAAATATGAACACCAAATAATTTGACAGATGACCAGTCTGATGAATCTTTTTAAATCTTCCTCCTCCTCCCCAGATAGCAATGCATATATAAAATAAAGTGACTCACCTTTAGTTTGGTAGATTTTTCTTGGAGAAGAGCCATTTGTTTTTTGATGCCTAACAATTTGGTATGGTACTTCTTCGCATTGGACAACTTCAGGAAAAAAAAAATAAATAAATAATAAATAAACCTTCAGTCCTAATTTTGTTTCGGAATAACGCAAGAAGAAACACGTGTCAATCTGACAAACAAATACAAAAAGGAAATTGTTGAATTTTCAGATTTTGTTACAAGATATCTATTATAACTTTTTTTAAGATAACTAATGACCACAGTCATTTGATTAAGTATGGCACAAGTAATATCAGTCCTCCTCTATGGCACAGATGAAGAGAGGCAACAGAAATGTGGTTCTACAGAAGGATGCTGAGAATACCAGGGACTGAACATGTAAGTAATGGGGAAGTTTTAAGGAAAATGGAAACAAAAAGGACATTTATACATAATATCAGAAAGAGACAATTGAAATTTCTATGAAGAAAGAGGACTTGGAAAATTTCACACCCAAGGACATTTTGAAAACAAGAACCTTTGTTGCAGATTTCTATCAACCCACAATAAAGAAAAAGGAAAGAGAAGTTCTCCACTGAGTGTGAGTTCAATACCTGGCTAAGTCAGTGGAGAACTTTCAGAGGGGAATTAACAAGAGATAACTGATAACTGACATTCATTAAACATGGCACATGGAACTAGAACAGTCTACCCCAGTGAGCGAAATAAAGGGTTCAGTTCGACATTCCAACCACCTGAAGAAGGCTGGAGCGTATAACAGCCAAAACGTTGTGATAAATATGGCGACAAAGATGAGGACAATAGTCCGAATAACGTAAATGATTCTCATTAGTTTAGAACGAGTGAATTAATGATAATTATAGTTGTAATAATTATTTTATTATAATTAGTTTTTATTTTATTTTTTATGGATATGACAGTATGAACTTAGCATGTATGGAGGCCCTATTAAACAATAATTAGATATCTACCCTTGGACATTCACAAATCGGTATAACATTTCTGACAGGTTCAAGCCTTTTTAGATAATTATTCAATAATGAGAAATATTTGCAAGTTTATGTCCCTTTGAAAAGTTATAGTGTTGAATGGGGAGATGTTATTGTCAGCAATCATCATTATCTGCATGTAAAATGTTGTTAAGAATAAATATTCATATAAAGAATAAAATGTTGACCAGCAAAACAAATGTCACAAGTTAAAAATGGGCTTACAATTTCTCCCAGTTTTTCTTTTGAAGAACACTCGTCAAATTTGGCATTTTCCTGCTGGACAGTCTCGATCAGGATTTTTTGATTCTGGCTGTGAAAAAAAGAAATTTAAAAGTAAAGCTCTTAAGCCAAAATTTTTAGCAAACAGAATAAAATAATCCAAAGATGGAGTGAAATCTATATGTGAAGAGGAACTACTTAAATATAGTGGTCCACTCGTAAAAAAGAATAATTTTTGTAGATTAGCCATTCAGTAAACCTTCCTCAAGCCACAAAATTTGCCTGAATTGAAAAATATTGATTTGAAGATAGATTCTGGTCATAATATCAATACAGTGTAAAATTGATTCCTAACTTTCTACAGAATTATTGAACCTAGTTGGTACTTACAAATGTCAAATTTGAAAGTGTGCTTATGTAACAATACAATTTCTCATACATCATTAAGAGATAGGTAGATAAATTCCTTTTAAGTCCAGGGTTTTCTCGGAATTTTGTCTCCAGTTCATCTTTGAGTCAATTTAATTTCCAGAGTTTTCAGGATTCTTGTCTCCAGCCTGCCTTTGAACTGGCAAACATAAAATTTTGTTAATGATTTCAGATAATCATAAAAGTAGAGTCCTTTAAAAAAAAAAAAAAAAAAAAAAAAACCACCCATCCAGCTTTTGGGTGGTCTACTTTTCCAGAACACAAATAGATAGATAGGAGAGTGGGTTCTTAGCCAGTATCCAGATAAGTAGAGAGAGGCAAGAAATCAGCAGTAAGTGAGCAGTCACCAAAGCCACAGGTAGTTCATGTAAAGGTTCCCTATCCATGGCCAGAAGTTAGTAAGATAGCAGCCCACTTTCTCAAACCTGAAGGAAGACTACCATAGTTAAGTTAGAAATTGTATTGTTGCTATTTCCCAACCAGTGTCTTGAAAAGCAATTGTCATTCTTTATTGAATTCAATCACAGTCAAGGAGACAAAACCCGTGAACATAGCAAGTCGGGTGTATATGCAGACACAGCCAACTTTGGACATCATCACAGCTGTGCAATGAACTACATGCAAAGAACATAGACTTACATCATTGATATTTTTCTTCTTTTTTTTCTTTTTTTTTTTTTTGAATTTTAATAAGAGGTTTGTTTTTTTTTCAGAACATGTACAAATATTGGCAGAAAATTATTTATACTAAATGAAAAATAAATAATCCAAAATTCGCTTGAAGATGAAATGGAACTAATGCTTTTAATTTAATTGCAAAATTAAATTCGGGGTTTTTAGCTTCTATTTTTGAAACATGGTTGGAACTGTGTAGCGAAAAAAAACATATTTTAAATCAATTAATTTATAATATATAATTCTATAAATTTATTTTAATTTTTGTTTTTTTATTCAAAAGAAATCTTTTTTTTGTAACAAAAAAATCTTTTCACATGCAAAGAAGTCCAGATGAACCTGTAAAACATTACAAATCAATTTTACATTGTATCTATATTATTAACAGAACCCTGCCCCGTTCTAGAAAGATAGAATCAATTTTTTTTATTCTAACAAATGAAAACGGTTTAATGGACACTCATGTACAAAAAGCTTTACTTGGGAGGATATTGACTGGCATAATAAAATCTGACCAAGAGTAGACAGTTAGACAGAATTTATTTTAACAAATCTTACGTCAATTCATGGAGAGATTTTTTCGCCAATTCAAGGTTTGGCAAGAAAAGATCCATCAAATCGTGGCTCAGTCTCTGAATCCCTTCTTTAGTGAGACCTGTCAAAAAAAAAAAAAAAAAAAAAAAAAAAAAATTAAAAAAGTAAAGTGACAATATGACAGGTTCAATTACTTCATTAAATAAAAATTTAAAACTTAATTGCCAAAAAACTAAATAAATAATTATTAGGCTGTTCAAAAAGCAATTACATTTTTAACCAGAAAGGATGCAAAAAAAGTTAAATTTATTTCAAATATCATTTATCAAAAACCTAACCATCTTTATTTTCCCTGGCTGCTAACCAACAGAAAGGCAAATTTTTGATTCCACATTTAAAAAAAAAAAAAAAAAAAAAAAAAATGTTTAAAAGACTGTTTTTGTTTTTAAATGTTTTGCCTCTCATAAAATTTTCTCCTAATCAAAACAAGTAAAAATCCACAAGTGTTAAACATTGTAACTAAGGAGTATGTAGGAGAACTTCCCATCATAAAAATATCTTTTTTCTTATGTTTGTTTTGCAGAGGGTACCCTTGCATTGTCATGTTAAAGAATAACACCTTTTCTGTCCACCAAAGCACTTCACTTCGTTTACCTGATGAAGTTTCTGAAAATAAGCATCTACAGTAGTGGTTCTCAAACTTTTTGAAATCAGGGCACACTTGAAATCCTACCAATAATTGTAGGTGCACTATATACAAATTTCAGAAAAATATGTTATAATGAAGTCAAATACTGCAGAAAAAAAACAATAAAAAATATAAAATGAAACATGCCTTAAGTTTATGCATTTTTGTGTTTATGAGAAACATGAACCTGATGAGTCTTAGCGACTTCTTCAATATTTGGACGTATATTTGATAGGCAAATTTTCATTTTCTTGTCAATACATTGAAGAGTTCATCTCTTTTTGCACTTAATTGTAGTGAGAGAAGAAAAGCCTAATTCACATAAATATGAACAAGATGGGTACTGCAATATAATAAAGTAAATATATTTCTTATATCTGGACACATATTTCTCTGGAATGCCAAGGGCATACCTAGACATCTTCCAGGTTGCACCAGTGCAACCAGGCGCACCATTTGAGAATAAATTGAGAACTGATCTACAATAATGGTCCTTCAAAGTTCCAGTAGCCCATAATGAGTGATATTTTCATATTCTACCAATGCACAAAGCAGAGAGTCCCAATTTTGGTTTTGACATTGGTTTCACATTTTGTGATAACCAGTCTTCATAATTTTCTGTTGACATGCAAAACCTATTTTTCATATGTAACAATGTGATGCAAAAAAAAAAAAAAAAAAGGGAGGAGTTATCATTCCTGGTTAAAAAACTGCTGTAGATGATGGAACACTGTGTTCAGTTCCCAAGTGATAGCTAATGAGGAACTCAGACTCCTTATTTGCAAGTTTTCCCCAATTAAATCTGGAATGCACTATAAATAAAATACTATTGAATAAAAGAGATGACAAACTAATTTTAGACATTTTCCTATCATTCAACCTTGGCTAGCTGACCCATAGTTTATAGGCATAAAATAGATAAAAATGTGTACTTTACTGCTATAAACTATGAATGTTGGCTTGCAGTATATGGATGTCTCTGTTCGAGTCATTAGTGCATCCAGGAAAGCAAGTTTGTTGTCACTATGTACTAATATCCTAAACAGAGCATGGGTTCAAGACATCCTATACAAGCCAACATTCACCATACAATACCTCAACTTCAACTCCCACCACCCATACAGTGTAAAGAAAGGAATCATAAGCTGCTTACAACATCAAGCAAAAGTCATAAATGGCGACCAAGAAACATATGATCAAGAAATGGTCAATATAAGCAATATCCTACAACGTTACAACTACCCTGGGTATATGGCAGCATCTCCGACAAACGGATAAATGGGTACAAGAGGATAACACACTCAGAAAACAGTTTCAGTCTGCCTACCATATGTGAAGGGATTATCGGAGAAAATATAAAAGATCTGTGGTCCATATAAGATCAGGACAACCTTCAAAAGTGGTTCAACACTTCGCAGACACCTCTTCCAAATAAGACACCCCCCAAGAAGAAAGCATAACTAAAGACTGTGTGTTCACCATTCCATGCAGCTGTGGTAAGAAATATAAAGGAGAAACAGACACTGATCCAAAAAATTCAATACCTGGTTAAGGCGGTGGAGAACTTGGAGAGGGGGAATTAACAGGAGATAACTGATAACTGACATCAATTAAACATGGCACGAAGAACTGGAACAGTCTAAACCAGTGAGCGAAATAAAAGGTTCAGTTCGACATTCCAACCACCTGAAGAAAGCCAGAGCGTAAAACGTCCGAAACGTTGTAATAACTATGGCAACAAAGATGAAGACAATAGTCCGAATAATGTAAATAGTGTAAAAAATTAATTGTTTGCTCACTTTAAACAAAAAAGAACACTTGCCATATTTTGGATATGCTTACACTCATTACAGGCAGTGACAAATATATCTGTTATCAGATCTGTCAGCCAGATATATCTGGAAGAAGTGATTTCTGTGGTCTCTAGCAGCTGAACAGACAGGAAAGAACCAAGGAGAAGATTGTTGTTTCACTTGGGACCTCAATGCTGGTGTAAAAGTTTTGATACCGGCTTTCACTCGGGAATAGAACTCAAAGGCACATTTCTCAACAAATCACAAAGCGAGTCCCAGTGTTGATAACAGAGAGATGTTCTGTTAATGGGGGTGGGGGTTTCTTGCCTGATGGGATACTGGAGGGAGAGCTGCAGACATTGTCATGTTGTTAGAATTATCAATAGGACAGAGCTGCAGGTAGCACAGATTGTTAATTCAATGAATGCCAAATGTTTCCTTTTAAAGAAACTGCTAATGTTACCATTGTAAGAATGCTTTAAGGCTACAATGCACAGTTCTAGGAACATTTGCTGTAAACATTTTTGCCATAGTAAAATTCATCTCAGGAATTTTCTCCATAGAAAACTTTGCCCTATAGGATTTTTGCTGTAAGACAATTTTGCTGCATATTTTTTTTTTTTATGTGAAATACCTTGTTATCAAGTATATCTGGCTCACACTTGTTACTTCAATTTAAACATTTTAATAAGCAAAGTTATAGGATCACAATCCTACATTATTCATCCTCGTTAGTGAGGAGCACAAAAATTTCAACTTTACACCTGTCATGCAATTTCATATTTCAGACTTGACGTTAAACCTTCTTTTAACATGGCATCAGTCTGCCAATAATTTTCACTCAAGCAATATATGTTATTTCAAACAAACAACTTGAATATGCAACCAACTTTAATATAAAATATCTGATCAAAGAAAGATAACTCTTTTAAACTCTCAGTAAGTCTTTTGAAACTTACACAAATTATTTGCAAACATAAACTGTTTTAAATTCACTATAAATACCTAAATATTGAAATATGCTTTCTTATATTTGAATATGCATTATAACAATACACAACCTTTTGATCCAAAGTATAATTGACATTCAATTCATCAAACACAAAAACATTTAAACAATTTAAAATACTTCCTTGTTATATAATTAAAATAACCGAATTGAATACCTAATTTGAACACTCAAAGAAGGACTAGTTATATTTTAAACTCTTTAAAATTTCTTTATTCATTCGACAATGATATCAATGCAAGACTTCAGTGAAAATACTTCATTTAGTATAGTTCAACATTATTTACGAAACATTGCTTGGAATTTGCACACATTTTAAATTATCTCTGTTAATTTTATCTTTTAGTCTTTTATTTTTTAAATAAATGTTTACTTTTTAATTTCTTTTCTGATGTTTGACCCTGTAAAAAAGACATACATATATACTTGATAACAAGGGACTTCACATATTAAATTGAACATTGCTCCAAAAAGAAATGAAATATGAAATAACATATATTGCTTGAGTGAAAATTATTGGCAGACTGATGCCATGTTAAAAGAAGGTTTAACGTCAAGTCTGAAATATGAAATTGCATGACAGGTGTAAAGTTGAAATTTTTGTGCTCCTCACTAACGAGGATGAATAATGTAGGATTGTGATCCTATAACTTTGCTTATTAAAATGTTTAAATTGAAGTAACAAGTGTGAGCCAGATATACTTGATAACAAGGTATTTCACATAAAAAAAAAAAATATGCAGCAAAATTGTCTTACAGCAAAAATCCTATAGGGCAAAGTTTTCTATGGAGAAAATTCCTGAGATGAATTTTACTATGGCAAAAATGTTTACAGCAAATGTTCCTAGAACTGTGCATTGTAGCCTTAAAGCATTCTTACAATGGTAACATTAGCAGTTTCTTTAAAAGGAAACATTTGGCATTCATTGAATTAACAATCTGTGCTACCTGCAGCTCTGTCCTATTGATAATTCTAACAACATGACAATGTCTGCAGCTCTCCCTCCAGTATCCCATCAGGCAAGAAACCCCCACCCCCATTAACAGAACATCTCTCTGTTATCAACACTGGGACTCGCTTTGTGATTTGTTGAGAAATGTGCCTTTGAGTTCTATTCCCGAGTGAAAGCCGGTATCAAAACTTTTACACCAGCATTGAGGTCCCAAGTGAAACAACAATCTTCTCCTTGGTTCTTTCCTGTCTGTTCAGCTGCTAGAGACCACAGAAATCACTTCTTCCAGATATATCTGGCTGACAGATCTGATAACAGATATATTTGTCACTGCCTGTAATGAGTGTAAGCATATCCTCAAAGAGGCAAAATCACTATTGACTGAGAGACGGTACAGCCTGGTTCTAGAGAATACAGGAAGCTCCGTTAGAGTGTACTGAATCAAAGCAAATCCTAAATGTGCTGACCATGTTTGGAAAATAAAAATATTCCTATAACTCTAAATGGATACATAAAACAATACTTACATTCAGTTAAAAGGTAAAAATTAAATCCATCCTTGATAATGGCTAAAACAATAGTCGAAAATGTTTGGACTTGCAGAACATCCACACAATTTCTACATGATTTATGTCCAGAAAAGAAAGAATATTATAAGAACATGAGAAAAATTAAAAACTTAATCACAGTATCATATCAGTTGTTTTTAACAAAACTTGTATAAAAGAGGGATTGCTGTCCAAATACACAAAATATATAATTAATACAAGTTTTGTCACTTAGCTTCTTAACTCTCGTCCTGTCCGTTCTCACGTTGGAGGGGTGGGGTCATCAGCAATTGGCTGCTTTTTTTTTTTTTTTTATATACAATTATCATTGTTGCAAGTCTTTTTTTTTTTTTGCCATTGTGTACGTGTGTGTGTGTGTGTGTGTTTGCGAACGCATACGACCATGTACCTGTCTATATGGATGTGTAGAGTGCCATGACTATTTGTCCTTTTTCATCACTCCCCACCCCACACACTTTATACTCACTCCTTAAAGTTTTCTCTTTTTTTCTTTTTTCCTCTTTTCTTTCAATTGTTGTCATTTGGCTTTAGGTTTTTCTAGACCGTCCATTGTTTTTAATTTTTGACTTTTCTAGTCTTCTGAGTTAGGAAAAGTGTAGCGAGAGGGAGAGAGCGAGCGAGAGAGGGCAATAGATAGAAGTTTGAGATGGCTGGCTTATCCTGATGAGCAATGAGTGACAATTAATTGAGATTTTATTACTTGAGCCTTGACACAAATCCTGAACACTCAACCAGAAAATTCCGGGGTTTTTTTGTCATAAAAAAAAAAAAAAAAAATAAAAAAAATAAAAAAATAATTAAAAAAAATAAGACTCACATTCTTGGCTATCAGTATCCTCAGCAATTCCTTCGCTGCTGTCCTCACCTGTAGCTTGGTCCAAAGATAATGTTACCTAAAGAAAAAAAAAAAAAAAGAAAGAAAAAACTCCTGCAATTGTATTACTAACATAGTACCCATCAAAAATGACCAGATTATTTAGACACGGATTTGTACTTGTGCCTAGGAAGAATATGTCACTCTTTAACCCCCTGAAAATTCCGTCTACCCAATTCCACTCCCAAGACTTGAGTCAACCTACAGTGTGGTTTCCAGGCACTTTCCAATGCTGCCACACACTAGAATTGCTTCCCCAGGTCAATAACATCAAGAAATTGCCTTCCTGACAAATCAACGATATATATTTTACATACATACAAAGAGGTCACTTCAAAGGTGACTTCTCCTATTTCATTGAATTTACCTACAATGTCAGAAGCTGCAGTTAGTGGAATGACAGTAGATGTTAAACATTCTCACCACTAAGTCATATTTTTTGCATTGTTATGAATAGATGAGTGGCAGTCTAGCAAAATGGGGTATGACATAAAAGTGCATAGAAAATAGATGTATCATTTAATTTTTTTTATGTTGAAAATAATTGCACCCATTAACATTCATCAACACTTGCAGAACATTTCTAAAGACCAAACAATGAATTTGAGCACAGTTAGGAAATGGATAATATGTTTCAGCAGTAGCGACAATGTGTCCGACAAGTCTCCTTCATCCACTAGGATATTCTTCAAATGCAGATATTATTTAAAAGCAATTAAAACAATATACCATAATAAAGCTTATGTAACAGATGGAAGATTCGTTCTTACCGTAGATCTTATTAGGCACAATAAGAGATTAACAAAAATAACTAATAATAAAATAGAACAATTATAACAATAGACTAATAAAAGTTATGTGACGGATTGAAGATTCGTTCCTACCGTAGATCTTATTAGGCACAATAAGAGATTAACAACAATAATTAATAATAAAATAGAACAATTATAACAATGTACCATAATAAAAGTTATACAACAACTAGAAGACTCGGCAAACTTGGTCCTCCATGCCGACAAAGAAAACAGTATCAAAAGGAGAGTTTTTCCCATGAAATTGTTATTATTTTAACTACCTTCACTCCTTGGTAATGTTTATGGTTTTAGAAAGCAATGATTAGAATTGAAATAAAGTCTAAACATATGATGAAAATGAATTTACAAATTTTCTTTGTTCTCAAGAATTTACAACAAAAATATTAAACACTATTAGATACATAATATATCTTATTATATCGTATTATTTACAAGAATAATTTTATGTTTACAACATTCTAAAAATTAATACAATTAAAACTAATGCAATGCAATATTTATCATTTGCCAATTTATAAAGAAATAAATGTGAAAATTTTTTATTCATAAATTTATATTTACTGCATGATGCAGCTAACAAGATAATCGTGCCATTTTCCTATGGAAATATATCTTCACCAGGTACAGAAACTATTTCCAGTTCACAATCCTCAATTTGGAAAAAAAAAAAACACATGACTTGCAGTTTCCTTGTTTGAGGAGGAATATGTTCTCACTAGCGACATAGCAGATAAATTCAGCCAGCTCAAATCTAGAATCCTAAATATGGCTCTTCCAGAAAGAAGATCTCTGGCAGCTCCAGCTCCTGTTGGGAATTATTAAAAGTAAAACCCTATCTTTTTGTTCTCTTTTTACACTGCTTGTTGTTGCATATATATGTTATATTTTCTCTGCATGGGACCTGTGTAAATATGCATATATAATTTTTTGTATGACTTAATGGGATAAAACTATCTGTTTGTCATTCAATTCCTTTCAGCTATTCTGTCCATGAAATGAGGTGTTATTATATCATGGATATAATAATAATGCCAATAATTGGGAAAAATAAACCTTTCTCCCACAGCTCACCCATTAGAGTGAAGATGGTGAATATAATAGCAGTTTCAAGGTAAAAACCATCCATTTGATACTTTGCAAACTCAGCATAAGATTTTTTTTCTTTTCTTATTAAATAGAGAACATTCTTCTTTTCACTTAATTAAAGTACTTTACGGCTGTATCTGAATTGCTAGCATCAGTACTTGCACTTGGTACCCTTATTAAGTAAAAGTTACGAATAACTGAAATCAGGGATAAAGAGGACAGTATATAGAACTAGCAGCATGGCCCAGCATTGCCCATGCTTGATTCAAAAATCGTACGACTCATACAGCAATCGCTATCACTTAAAATATTTTTGCCCTTCCTTGCCTTTAAAGGAGTTCCCTTTGCCATGCTGATGTTGCTACATGCCTTACTTCTTGCCTATCTCACACTGCGAATTTTTTCTAAGCTCTATACTAAACATTAAATCTGTTACAAAAAAAGAACTAAACAAAATGAACACAAAATGATCAGCTTTAAAAAAGTATTCGTAACTGGAAAAACCGAATGAAAAAAGAATGTTAACAACAAATACTTTTTCACACCCAACCCAGTTCTGCGGAATCAGAATCAACGTTGAGTTTAAGCAAGCGAATGAGCCAATTAGAGTAAAGTGCCATGCAGATTTAAATTTTTCCCCACTTACGACGAATGCAGCTATCGATTTTTTTTTTGCATGCTAGCATGCTAGTTGCCATTCGTATCAGTCAGCTGTTGGCTCTCACGCTGGCCAATAGAATCTTCCTGCCTATTCGTGGCAGCCAGCTAATGGCTCTCACTCTGGCCAGTATAAAATGGCCACAAACTACATGAAAACTGCCGTAGAAGCATGAAAAAAAAAAAATCGATTATTTCCACTATCAACTGCTAACTTGGAGCATGTGCATGTAAATTTTAGTGCAAATCTGTTGAAAATTGTGGCCACGAAGATCTGCAGTCCATACAACATCAGGACAATATTAAAAGCAGTTCCATCCTTTAGAGAAATATCTGCCAAGTCAAGCCCAAGAAAGAAGGAGAAAATGACCAAGAACCATGTGTATTCCATTCCTTTCAGTTGTGGCAAAGAATATAAAGGTGAAACTAGCTGCCCACTAAAAGCAAAACTGAAGAAACATCAAAAAGTCATAACAAGGAGTGAAACAATGAAATCAGGAATGGCTGATCATGTATGAAAGAAAAAAAATAGTCAGCAACCCCTGTGGAATGAAATAAAAATACTGAACACAGAAAAACACTGGAGAAAGAGAGAGAGATGTCTGAAAGTATCAGTGCATAGGCTATGCTACGAGGACCTCCTTAGTAAGCCTAGCATAAAGATATAATACAGGAGCAATTAATGAATAAATAAAGTGACAGCTAGGCTTTAACAGTAGCAGCTGCTGTAATAAAAAGTGAAGTCTCAGTGAGTGCAGTCAAGTGTAACCAGTAGAGCAGCACTCATCAGCAGGCAGGTTAGATTTAAGGCTCCAAGTTCTTCATTCAGAATTGTCGCACGGAACAATAGCATAGTAGATTAAAGATTAATTGGTTTGTGAATTTGGTGATATAGTAATTGCAAGTTCAAGCCATGGACCAGGCAGTGTATTTGGATTCAAAAGTAACAGGGTGAGCAATAACAGAGTATTAAATCAGAATTAGACATGATATCCCTGGACATGAACAGCAGATCAAACATAATCTGACCCCAGAGATTAAATGAAAGGTTCACTTCTTATAGACGTATTAAAAAATGAAAACAATGAAAAGAAAACTTAGAAAAACTTTAAAAAAAAAAAATAGAAGAATCATCATACTTATTATAAAACCCAGGTCGTGTGTGTGTGTGTGTGTGTGTGTGTACGTTTATATATTGGATCGGATTTCCTACATTTTTCAACCGATTTCAACAAAACTTCACAAGACTACGTAAAATTACCTTGCGGTGGTTTTGACAGCGTCAAAAATTGGGAAAAACAATTTTTTTTGCATGAAATCAATTTGAAAACACGATTAAGAGGCATCGCGAGAATGAAAGGGGGACAACTCATATCAAGTTATACTTATTATAAAACCCAGGTTGTGTGTGTGTGTGTTCGTTTATATATGGGATTGGATTTCCTACATGTTTCAACTGATTTCAACAAAACTTCACTTTTTTTTTGGCAGGTAGTGTTTCTTATTGTCTTGCACACTTTTTTCTTTATTTTTTACATTCAGAATGCTTTAAAAATCCTGTACATTTATGAGTATCAAAAAATTGTTTAACATGAACAAACTGTGATGCATTTTCACTATTTTGTCTTTATGGATTTAAAAATTAAAATAATTGAGTGAAATCCTTATTTTAATGTCTTTAGTTTAGTTTCTTTGTTCAGTTATAAATTTTGTAGACTATCTGAAGTCTTAAGAGCCCATAGCATCTAAACTAAACAAAAGCAAAATGAAGCCAAAAATAGTTTATTCACACAGACCAGTGCTTCCCAAACGTTTTTTTCTCTGGGTCGCATTTTTGGAGTGAAAATTTGCTCACGCCTCATCAAATTTTATGTGATAAAAAGTACATTTAAAAATAAAAAAAAACAAAAAAAACAGAGGGTTAAAGGGAGATAACCGCGGATTCGAAGTCGGAACATTATCATTGATAATTCTCTCCTCCAATTTGCAGATCCTAGTTACTATATTCTTAATATTTGATATAATGCAAAAATATCACAATGATAAAATCAGTCAATAATTATTTATAACTATTTATACTGGGACTGATAGATGCAATTACAAGTAATCCATAATATTATCTTAAATTTTTAAATCATATTTATTCTTGGTATATGAATTTTTTGAAACTGTTTCTAAATCTTTGATTGTCTTTCCATCATTCTGCCTCACCTGCTATCCTCTTCCACTGCACTGTTTGGAAACCACTAGCATAGACAATTATTTGGCTACCAACTTTCAGATTCATAGTTTCTTAAGTATCAAATTTATAAGGTGCTGACTTCAACATGACAAGTTGTTCTAGAAAAATTTTTTTAACTAGTGATATGACAATACCAATATTTTTACTGATTTTGATACAATTCCTGATACAGTTCTAAATTCTTGATTTGAATTCCAACAATGATTAAAATTCATTATTTTCAGGTCCTACAGTTGTCAAACTTAATGAATAAAGTAGATTTATTAATAAAACATTTAGTAGAAAGATGAATATAAAAGCTTATGAAATTAAATTAGATATCCTTTATATTTAAAAAATTGGGTTAGAGTTTAAACAATAAAGAGGACAATTTTTTTATATAAATCACTTAAGTACCTAGCTACAGTTGATATATTGCTTTACTTTGGTTATTATCAGAAATCTTAAAAAAACTTCCAAACTACACTTTTCTCCTTGGTATTGGATCCACTTGCCATAATTGGGGTCTGAAAATAATAAACATTGATTAAAATTTAAATTTTTCACTGTTAGATGAAAAATGTTTCTAGTTTTCTAATGTGTATAATTTGTAAAGATTCAACTAATAATGGTTTGCTATTAATTTCAAAATAAAAAGGGCCTATTATTTGTCCACTTTTTAAGTTTTAACAAACAAAGGCACCCTCTAAATATTATGCAATCTCCTTAAAATTTTGTGTGGCATTTTTCAATGAATGGAACAAATTTAGGGGTGACAATTCAATTTCAGCATGCACTTCAAAAATAAGAGACACCCTCATATATATATATATATATATATATATATATATATATATATATATATATATATATATTTTATTTATTGTAACAATTATACTCTAAGCAGAAAAGCATCATCCTATATATTGTGGATTTTTAACTCATGCATATATTTTGATAAAGTACAAGGAGTACAGGACCCTGCAAGACAGTGAATAAAAAATAAATGGAAATTTTAAATTTGCTTACAGACATTTAATAATTAAATATGAATTATCACAGCAACTTAATAAATAAATAATAAAGAGTTTTCAATCTTATCTAAAAAATTTAATCACTAATAAGATTGTCTAAAAGAAATTTTTCACAACTAAAAAATTGAATAATTTCTAAAAAGAATCAAAGTGTTTTATTTTTGTTGAAATAAAAAAAGAGTAAAAGTATAACACAGTAAAAACATATCCCTTGATTTTTTTATTAAAAAGATATAAGCAATTTTAGCAAACTTTAAATAATTTTTTTTTAAATATTAGGAAGTTGAAAGCTAAATAACACTGATATCCAACTTGAATCTCATACCAAATAAGATATGAGATTCAACTGTTACAAAACATTAAAATAAAAATAAGATTAAAATCTTCATAAGGATGAGAACAACTGTAAATGTGTATTTTTTGCATGGGTTTGATTTTTCAGTTATTTATTAGATTATTAGATGAAATTTTATATAGTTTTAATTTAAAAATATTAAAACAAATCATGTTAGAAGTGGAAAAACTTAAATCATACCAGATATAAATGGGAAAAAAATACCTATTTTTAACTGTTTTATACACTTCTACTTATAAAACCTGAATCTCATTTGGCTTTGAGGAGGAATAAATAAGAAAAAAGTTCAAACTATTTTAAATGCCATAAAAATAAAAATTTAACACAGGAAAGTTCAATTATGCTAAAGAAAAATATTAGTAAAATAAAGTTAAAAATATCATTTTTGATGGAAACTTTTAAGGTTGTTTAATACAAAAATTTTGAGTGAAAAATCTTTTTTCAGAAAACTTCAAATAAAAGTTTCTTTTTTTTTTTTAAGTAAATAAAGATGAAAATCTGTTTTGAAAACTATAAAATTTTTAAGAAATACATGAATTTCATAGAAAAAAATTTAAGTTTCTTAAAAAGAATGTTTACTTTTTAAAGTCTGGGCTATTGAAAAGATTTATTGTAAACAAAAATAATTTTTTATTTTTTTATTTTATGAATTAAGATTATTATAAAAAACAAATTGTAGAGACTTGCATTTTTTTTTCTTTTACACAAGTAAAAATAAACTAATAAACTTATATCATACTAAGCTTAGATGTTATTATGATCTATAGATTTTAGTTTTACTGATAGTTTAAAATCAATAAATATTTATATATTTTTATCATTAGTACCAGAAATGGAAAATTAAGTTTTAAACAAAAGAGAAAAAAAAATATCTAAAGAATCGTTTTTGGAATCGGAAATTAGGTTAAAAATTCTACGATTCTGATGCCAAGTCTGATACCCCAAAAAGTTTGAAGATTTCCAATTCTCAATTACAATTAATTGTCCCATCACTAGTTTTAACCCTAGACAGGAGTTTGTCCCCAAAATGAACCTTCTGTCACATGAACTACAGACATATGCAGAAAAAATATAAAAATATACTTAAACTACCTAACTGGTCTGTTGATACACTATTTACATTGTTCGGACTATTGTCCTTATTACAACGTTTCAGCTGTTGTACGCTCCGACTTTCTTCAGGTGGTTGGAATGTTGAACTGAATCCTTTATTTTGCTCACTGGGGTAGACTGTTCTAGTTCCACATGCTATGTCTAATGGATGTCAGTTATCAGTTATCTCCTGTTAATTCCCCTCTCCAAGTTCTCCACTGCCTTAACCAGGTATTGAACTCACACTCTTTGGGTCCTGTCTCTGGATCTAACCAATTCCTTTATCAACTGTGCCATGTGTCCTTGAGGACATCTGTGTATGAATTTCTGGGTATTATAAACCTAATGTCTTCAGCAACCATTTTTTACCAGAGGAGAACATGACTAAAGACTGTGTATATGCTATCCCATGCAGCTGCGGAAAGAAATATAAAGGGGAGACAGGCCGCTCCCTGAAGGTAAGGCTTCAAGAACACCAGAAAGCTGTAACACGAGGGGAAGTGGAAAAATCATGCATGGCTGACCACATGTGGAGAGAAAAGGGAGATCACCATCCTTTGTGGGATCAAGTTACGATCACAGACAAAGAACACCAATGGAAAATTCGTAAACTTAAGGAATCAGCACATATGCTAGGCCACAAAAATCTCCTGAGCCGACAAAGCATAGAAATAAATACAATATGGGAACCAGTAATAAGGAGTGCCAGAGAAAAGCGATAACAACAACAAAAATTGCAATATGAGCTCTGGTAAAAAAAACAAAAAAACATGCAATGATAACAGCAAAAATTGCAATACGAGCAATGGTAAAAAATTGTTGCTGAATACATTAGGTTTATAATACCCAGAAATTCATACATAGATGTCCTCAAGGACACATGGCACAGTGGTTAAAGGTGTTAGTTAGATCCAGTGACAGCGAGTTCAATACCTGGTTAAGTCAGTGGAGAACTTGGAGAGGGGAATTAACAGGAGATAACATCCATTAAACATGGCACATGGAACTAGAACAGTCTATCCCAGTGAGCGAAATAAAGGGTTCAGTTTGATATTCCAACCACCTGAAGAAGGCCAGTGTGTATAACGGCAGCAAAGATTAGGACAATACTCTGAATAATGTAAATACTATACATAATACCTCATCTCAGAAATATAGACAGATACTGGTCTGTTGGTGTCATGAAAATCAGCTATTTTAAGGTTGTTAAAAAATACCAAGCAATTTTCAAACAATAATACTGACATTCCTATAACAGGAGTGAGAGGTGAGAAGCTCTCAAAGTAGAAAGCATCTTTTTGCATTTCAGCCGTTTTTAGATTGTTATAAAAATAAAAATACATAAGGCACACAAGCTGTTTATATTTTTGCAAGCTACAGTCAATATTAATTGTTATCACCGAGCATAGTGCTTTAGAATTATTGTGACAGACCACCCCCAACAAAACCAAATAATGTTTACTTACATCATTTGTAGAATCTTCAGCACTTGGAATGTCTTTTTCCGATAAAACTCCATCATCTCTCGTATTCTCCAAACAATTGTATTTTTCAACAGATTCCATTCTGCAAGGGCTAGTGCTCACAATGACAAGATATCAAACGTTGATCCAAACCTAAAATTTCAAAACAACAATAAAAAAAAAAAAGTAATAATCTTTCCTCTAAGATGGCTAAACTAAAAGAGCAAGTAATTTTTGTTTTAATTTAAAAAATAATTTTTGTTTTAATTTAAAAGACAAGGATTTACATGCAAATTATTGTCTTCATATTTGTTATTGTTATCACAAAGTTTCAGTCATTGTACTCTCCAGTCTTCATCAGATTATGATTGTCAATCCAAGTAACTTTTAGGGAATTTCAAAACTAAACATTTTATCACACTGTATGTGACTATTTGCTGTACAAAATGTTTATCCTATCACTGATGATGACTGATCCCTGAACAACAAGGCATTTGAGTTTCATAGTTGTGTTGTCATATCCTGCTATAGCAACAGAAAATAAGTTTGAGTAAACAAACAATAGGTTACAGCAATTGAAAGACCTTGGAAAAGAATGCAGGGGAAAGAAAAGTAATAATAATGCCGAGTGCTAGCAAAGTGGATTAAAGCATTGGTTTGTGATTTTGGTGGTAATTAGGAGTTCAATCCCTGAGCTAAGCCGTGTATAGTTGAGCTCCATAGAAATGAGGGCAAGCAATAAGTAGTATTAAAATAACCAGACAAGATGGTGCCTGGGAAAGTCAACTTACATGAGAAGACACTTCCAGAAGGATGGCATAAGAGAAAGGATGAGATGATTTCCCTGTCCACTCGGTGGCAATGGCTGGCAAACTGTAATCATTTTTGTTGTGAGCTTAAGAGGGAATGGTTTCAATTCTCTGTAAATTGTGTTAAGCACTGCATGGGATGTCCAACTGATGTTCTGGATTTTTCTAAGCAGATTTGTATATATTCCATCCAGTCTAGATGAACAAATAATGTTTCTGGTCCAATTAATACTAACAAGTTCATGTAAACCACTATCTTGCATAACACAAGTACCATTTTATGATTATTACTGTAACATTTACACAAAGTCCAAGTACACACTGCCCAGTCCAGAGATTGAACTCACAATTACTATGTTACCAAATTCACCGACTAATACTTTAATCCAATTTACTTTGGAATTCCCTGTAGGTTACCCGGACTGAGATACACCTGATGAAAGCTGGAGGGCATAACAGCCGAAGCGGTGTGACAACAACAACAAAGATGAGGACAATAGTCAAAGTGCAAATAATGTAAATCAGGATAACTCTCTGTCCAAGAATTTCAGGCAGAACGAGAAGAGATTTCATTTTTTTTTTTTTTTAAACAACTGAGTAAAAAGAATGTGCCAGCTGCACAGCAATTATCAGGACAAGAAGTGAACTCAACCAGCTGGGTTCAAGTTTCAGTTTAGACCATTGTGTTCACTTTCACACAAATGCCCTTAGGAAAAACATGAATCCACTTTGTCTCCCTCCAGCTATGGGCTAAACAGCAGGGTAGATTGTGCTCTCCAGCCTTGGATAGTAGCTAGTCTAGAAAAGAAAAACTACTCTGAATTCAAAACCATAGAAACAGGAACACAAGAGCACCACTATCTTTTTTTTTTTTTTTTTAAAAAAAATCAAAATTATGATCAGATACATTACAGTTAACAACTACTGCACCGAGTGTCTTTGTGGCAAAAGAGAAAGTCATCAAGAAAAAGTGCACATGTGCTCTGTACACTTCTGAACACAAAATACCCAAAATAGAAATATGTGGCAGCTGTTGCCATAAATGCATCTCAGATATGCTAATATTGTTCGTCCTCTCAAACCGTTGACCAATGAACAAAATTGTTCTGTCAATAAAAGCGGTTGGTGTTCTCGAATTGGGGAGTCGTTCTTATTTTGCTACCTCATCTGTCGACTTGCTTGTAACTGTTGGCTTGTACATTGGATTTCTGACCATTTATGTCTATTGGGATTTTTGACATTGTCCATGCGATTTATGATTTCAACATTTCCTTCATCCCCTTGAATCTTCAAGTTTGGACTTGCAATTATTTTATTTCGTTGTAGAACTGAGCTGCTATATCAATTTTTGAACAAGCTATTTCTGCATTTAATAGTTACAGACCGACTTGACTTAAAGTTGATACCCAAGTTCAATGCTTTGTCCACTGTCCTATCTTGACGAGTGCGTGGAGAAGGCAGAGCTTATTTACCAACTATGCAAATTGAAAGAACCAGCAACAGTCATTACTATGAGGCTGTGGGGGGGGGGGGCTATGCTGTGTACCAGCAGCTTAAAGAGGAAGAAAAGAAACTAGATAAAACAGGCTCTTTATACAGTATTTGCAACGGACCCATTTGTGGGATATCAACAATTTAATGGGTACCGACTACTCCCCAGAGACACAGTTGATTTATACCTGGCCAATTTGTGGAAATTTTCTATGCCGTTTGGGGACATGAATGACCAGATGCTGGGGTGCGCCTTTGTAGCAGGATTGCAAGATGAGGTCAGTCAGCTTTTACGAGTAACGTCCTGAATGGATGAACCAACCTGCTATTGGCCCAGGCCAGAGATTTGCAAAGAGTTGGAAGAGGAACTGGTGATAGCAACTGCAAGGCCCACCCAAAATGAACATGTTCTCCAAACTGTGGGACCTTCTGCAAGAATTAAGTGCTACAGATATAATGGCCCAAACCATCTGGTGAAGGATTTCCTCCAGAAGGGGCAAGCGATGCAGGAAGGTTGCTAATGCTGCCATAGGTGCCAAGAGTCAGAGCACATGTCACAAGATTGTCCAGCAAACAGGTCAAGGGAGTGATGTCTTAGTGCCAGTCTCTCTTCCTTACAAGTCATGAAAGAGAGACGCTCCCCATAATTGACATATGCATTGATAGGGTTAAACATACCGCTCTTGTGGATATAGGTTGTTCAGTTCACTGACAAACATATCCAATAACTGTCCATGGAAAAGACAAGCGGTGGATGTGCTGACAGCTGATGGAAAGGTCCTCAGAATTCAAAGAGTCACAAGCATGAAAGTCCACAAAGACAGGTATGACCCTATCAATAAAGATGTTCTGGTTATGGAGAGCAAATTGTTAGGATTTGACCTGCACCTCAGTATGGATGTCATTGAGAGGTTGGGCAGTATTCACAATACAAAAATGGTAAAGCTAGGTTTGTTAATCTCCATATTTGTGCAGCCATGACTGTGAATCAGCCTGATTTTACCAAAGAATTCAGCCAATATACCAGGACCTGGACAGCATCATGGAAGTGGTCAGATGGACAGCTACCAAAATATCTGAAAAACTGAGTATGTGAGTACCTTGTGTCTAAGCAGTCAAAGAATATCAGCATGAACTACAGGCATGGATAGATGACAGATGGCTGATACCTTACCCAAAAAAAGAACTCAGTCACCCAAAGGACCTGATCCCATTAATGGTGACAGTTTAAAAGAATAAAGGAAAGGTCCACCTGGTGTTGGATTACCGCAAGCTAAACAAGCATGTTGACGCATACACAACTCATGCTGATGTTTGTGCTGAAAGATTGAGAAAATGGTGGAAAAAAATATTCAATGTTTCTGTGCTTGATCTTCGCAAGGTGTACCTACAAATACACATGCTTCAATCACTGTGGCCATTTCAAGCCATCATTTATAAGGACCAGAGGTACTGCCTGGCAAGAATGGGATTTGGGCTCAATGTGCCACCAGATATTATGAAATCCATTGTGGATACCGTGCTGGCAAAAGATGACCTCATTCTCCAGGCCTTTTCAGTATATATTGATGACATATATGTCAATGAAACATGACATCAGCAACATGCATAAGACAACATCTTGCTGATTTTGGATTGATGTGCAAAAACCCCGAATGATTGGAGGACAATACCAGAGTGCTCGGCTTGCAAGTTTGGTGAGAGCAGAACACCTTGTACTGGAAATGGGAGAGTGAAGTACCAAAGGGACACAAAGTTTTGACTGTGAAAAAGATTTTCACAATGCTGAAAATTAGGACAGTTTCATGTGTGTGGCTGGCTCCATATTGTGACTGACTTCATCAACACACAGAGCAACTGTGTTTAGGTCCAGCTGGTATGATGAAGTAACAGACGCCTCCCCTCAATAACATGATTATGGATGTCATTACCAGAGTACTCCAAGATGACCCTGTGCGAAGCAAGTTCTGTGTCAACGGACATGAGTTTGACATATGGGCCGATGTGAGCTCCCTTGCAACTGGAGGGGTCCCTCGAAATAAATGAGGATATAGTGAAGGATCCATGATGGTTATATCCCACAAAGAATGTTTAGCATATAAATGTAGCCAAGTTGGACGCCAAGGGTGTTAATGTAGCACTTCAATGAAAGGCAAAAAGTTGCATTTATTCAAAGACTCTGCATGTGTTCATGGATGGATATCTGACACTCTCACCAGAAATGCCAGAATATGCACAAAGGCTTCAAGAGAGAATCTCATTCAGAAAAGGTTTAGCACCTCAGAAAAACTGGTCAGTGAATATGACTTATCGGTGGACATAAAGGTGATGAAAAACAAACTGACAAGGGTATCATGGAGATGGCTCGATGCAGTAAGCAAGGAGACAGAACCGGTGCAACTTTGCTGTGCAGTTATCAGTTAACAAATGTGGCTTAGATATGATAAGGTTTGTACACTGTCAAAGTGGGTATCCTGGCATTAAGAGGACCCTGTACTTCACAAGGCAGGTTGATCCAGTGATGTCAAAGACAGCAGTTACGGTCATAGTCAGAATGTAGAGAGTATCAGCCCATTGACCTATCACCAGTATGATAGCCAAAAGGAAAGTTAGCAATGTGTGGACCCATACTGGGATAGACATCATTCATCATGATGGTAAACATTATCTGACACTGACTGACTGTGAACACACTCAATTCACAATCTACATTGGACAATTGACATATGGAACTATGTGTGCGTAAAACCAACGTACAACTCAATATCAAGTGGGACGTGTCACAGGATTTGAAGCCCAGGCATGATTTTTGTTAATCGGATGCCACGTCATGTAAGGGATCAGTACCCCTTT